CACCCGAGGCTAGCGGGGGTGCTCCGGGGAAGGGGTCGGCCGGACGGGAGGCACCCCAGGGAGGCACTCGGAGCCTGGGAGGTGGGCGGCGCAGGGAGGTGGGCGGCTCAATGTGGGAGCGCCCCCTACTGGCCCACCACATGGGGCGGGGTGCAGGAGCCTGCAGCCAGCACTGCCAGTCACCCTCAATGCTGCAGCGCAGCCAGTGGTCCTTGCACCCCACCACTGGCCTCTCCTGTGCCTCCAGCCCCAAGAGCTGGGCTTACGGGTGAGTGCTTCAGACTAGGCCTGAGGTGGCAGAGCTGCTGACACTGGTGGGAGAAGCAGGAGCCCCAGCCCCACACTTGCCAGGGCAAGCACGGCACCGGGAGGGTGAACGGAAGTGGTACGAAGTGCCACGTCCTGCGTCCGACAGGGTCTCCAACCAGCCGCCTGGGACCCCGCTGCACCACAGGGGACCCCGCTGCTCTGGAGCCCATGCCCAGCTCTTGGCACCTCCCTGCCTGCCCGACAGAGACCGCACCATGCCAGATGCCAGCCCCAGCCCTCAGGCCGCCTAACGACGTAACACGCTGCCCCAAGTGTCCTGCAGCTGCTGATCTCGTCCCCACCCCAGCCTGCAGCAGTGGTCTTGTCCCAGACCTTCCTGGGGAACCCCCTGCCGTGAGCAGGCTGGCCAGCACCGCGGTGACACATGAAGTCCTGTAATCCCAGCCACGTCTCTCCTGCCCCGGGGGAGGAACACACGGCAGGCGTCCCGCGAGCCTCTCCTGGGAGACGTGCCTTGGCCAGACCCAATCCCAAGGAGGCCCCGGAGGAGACTCGGGGCCCTCAGACCCTGCTGCATCTCTGCCCTGCCGCACACTTGCACGGCGCTCCCAGAGGCCTCTAAGCCAGGTGCAGACACAGGCAGGTCCAGCTCTGCTAGCCTGACAGTGACCGCGACACGTGGGTCCCCTTCCTCTAGCCGGCCCCGTCCTCCTGGGGCTAAAGCAGAGGGGCTGGCAGGTTCCCAGGACCGTGGGAGAGACCATTTGAGCTGGCCCCCGGGGTTAACGAGCAAAGAAAATTAAAGTGGCCAATTCAGGGGAAGCAGTGATGGTGGCAGAGAGCCCCGGCGCTGCTGCAGTGGCAGCCGTGGGATGCAGCTCTGACCGTCTGGGCTCTGGAAGACCCTGCTCCAGTGTGCGGCTCTGATAGGAGCAGGCTCCAGCACCGCGGCTGCATGCTCCATCCCAGGCTCCTGCTGTGGGGACCCCGGCAGGGGCCAGAGACCCTGCCAGCCCCTGGAGCCCTCCTGTCATGGGGAGGCCAGGTCCCGGGGCAGAGGCAGCCTCTGTGCATGACAGCCAGCACCCAGCAGAGGCTTCCTGGCCTGGCTCTGAAGCCCATGAGGCCGCGCTTCAAGTGCGTTTGGTCTAAACCTGCTTTGCTGCAACCTCCAGCCCCAAAGAGCCATGGCTCACCTGCAGGACAGGGCCACACACACCGCCCCGCCCCCCGGCCCTGCCGCTGCTTGCTCCCCACAGCCTCCCTGAGCATCCCTGGGGCTAGGGGTGTCAAGCACACGGCACCTCGTCCCTGCTTTGCACGTTTCATGTCTCACTCCTCACCTCTTGCTGCAGCCTGGGCCCGCAGCCCATCGTGCCATCACATGGACTAGCGCTGGATCTCCCCGTGGCTGCACATTGGCTGCCACTGCCAGCACGGATCAAGAACTGGGCGAAGGTGGAGAGGTCCTGAGGCTGTTGGTGCCAGCGAGCGGGCACGCAGGGGCTCCACACCGTGCACGGCAGCACTTGCCCCAGGGCTTCCAGCAAAGAGCACGACCCGGCACAGCAGACCGAAGCAAGCAGGCACGGCACATTGCAGCCCGAAGGGACAGGGTCTGATCGGCAAATCCCAGCTGCAGAATTTCATGATGGTCCCTGGTGCTGAACCCAGGGCTCGCACCCATCTCAGCACCTGGCAGGCAGGCCTCATCCATGTCTGAAAACCGCAGTCAGTGGAGGTGGCTGCCCTCACTGGTCTGCTCCAGCTGCTGACTCCCCAAATGCCGTGTTCCCAGCTGGAGCTGCCCGTCTTCTCCCTCTGGCCTCAGCTGCTCATTTCTGCACCGTGTGCTGAGCACTGCTGTCCTCTCCCTGCGAAGGTCCTTGCACGCTGTGACCAGTCACTCCATCTCCCTGCACCAAGATGAACCACTCAAGCTCTCCAGCCTCCGCTGCCCACAGCTCCCTCCAGCCCCTGAATCACTCTTACGACTCTTCTTTGCCCCTCATCAGGGTCTCAGTGAGGACGCTTCGATGCTTCAGTGCTGCAGCCTCCCAGCGCCGCACTCACCAATTCCACGTGCAGGCGGGAATGCTCCTCACCGATCCTGGTCCCAGGTCCTCCCCTGAGGGTGGCCTGCGCTCAGTGCTGCAGCATCGCATGGGCCGCTCGCATCGAGTCGTGGGTTTGCAGGAGAGCAGATGCCTTCAGCTATGCCCTCCATCCTCCAGGTGTAATTTGTCCTCCAGCTGTACCGTTTTGCTCATGCAGACTGAGATTTCCGCACGATGGGATTGCCCTGACCCCGGCCTTACCCCCCACACAGCCAGTTTCTGTCTCACCTGCAGATTTAAAAGTAGCAGCTGATTTTACATTTATTTTCAGGGCACTGGCAAAAGCCCTGGATAGCAGCAGAGCTCGCACTGACTGGCAGCACCCCGCAGATGCGCCCGGGTGCTCCCAGGCCGATCCCTGCTGCAAGGCTGTCGTGCAGCCAGAATTAAGTCACGCACGTGTTGACCCCGCGCAGGGCGAGCTCCGATCAGCGCTGGGCGGCACAGGGACAACTGCCCCGCACCCTGCGCTGGGCAGGGGACCCGGTGCAGCACCAGGGTGGATGTGTAGGTCGCCTGGGGAAGCGGATCGGCTGCGGCAGGATGCATCCCACCACAGCGGACCTGCTTCGGCTTGGCGATGCCTGCCTCTACCCACAGCACTCACTGCAGGGCAAGTGGCTCTGGGGAAGTTGTTAGGTTTTCTGCAGGAAAGGAGACTCAGCAGCTAGCGAGCACGGGAACGAGGGGCACGACCTCTGAATCTGAACCTCCTCGACCTGCAATGCTGGAGACTGCAAGGGAGAGGGAACAGGGGAAAACCCTGCTCAGGCCCAGTCACTCTCCCTTCCATCCTCTGCTCTCTGCCCGTGGGACGCCGGAGCCTGGGCCAGACAGACCTGGGGTCTGACCCAACACCTGGCACCTCAGATGTACTTTCTCTGCAGTCGGACAACAGGCCGTGTAGCCGCTCCAGGCAATCCCCTCCTGGCAGGACGCATGCCGTGTGCCTGCACCCTCCGCCGCATTGCTCCCACTTCTGCCACCCTTTTGGCCCAGGACAGGCTCCTCGTTCTCTGCCTCAGGCAGAGCCTGGGCACAGGGCAGGGAGCAGCGGGGCAGAGGCCCAGGCAAACGCGCTTCTGACGAGCCGGAAATCATGCAGCAGCTGACGAGGCCCTTTCTGGGAGGCAGCTGCTGCTTTGCCTTGCCCGCTCCCTGCCATGTCCTCCTTCCTTCCAGTCTGCAGCACCTTGCTCCTGACCCACGTTACTCCAGAGCCCCTTTCGAGTGACTGCAGATGCTGAGAAATTAGTCCAGAGCCAACGCCATGCATTGCACATTGCCAGTGCCCACAGCTGGGCCCTGAGCCCTGGTCGCCAGCCCCCGAGGGGTGAAAGGCTTGCTTAAAGGGATCCCTCACTGCCCGTGGAGGGGCAGGACATGCAGGGGGAAGGGGGCAACCACGAGGGCACCACCTGCCCACTCTGCCACAAGAAGAGCAGCCGGCGAGCTCCCAGACCCGCCGCGACACAAACCCTGTGGCTGCCTCTCATGCAGGCACCCTTCCTCAGGGCTGCCATCACACCCCACGGCACAGCTCGAACAACAAGCACCAGCCCGAGAACAGCGTGGAGGAAGGGAGAGGGCGCCGTGCCCTGTCTGGCCCGCCCCTGCACAGTTACCGTCCTGGAAGACTCGCTCCACATTCAGGCCATAGGTGGCACAGGTCTCGTAGTACGTGCAGCGCTTCAAGTCGTTGGAGAGCTTCCGGGCCCGGGAGTCGTCGATGACGCGAGGGTTCGTGGCGCTGATGGCATCTGGAAGCAAAGGGGTGGGGGGCAGGTCAGAGAGCTGGGACCACTCCCCTGCCCCGCTGGGGGCCAAGACAGCACCCACCAGGGCCACCAGGTCCGTCCAGCTCTCCCTAGACAGGATATGGACCCTGCACAGCCCCGTCCTGGGCAGAGGTCCAGGGCTCCCAGCTTGGGGCCCTGAAGGGTTAATACCGTGTCTTGCCTGCATGGCTCTAGAGGTGCCACCAGGGGGCTGGTGAGCAGGGGCGGGGCTAGGGGGGCTGGGAGCAGTGCATCCTGGGATGCTGGAAGACTGCAAAATGCCCGTTTTATCCCCATGGAGCAGATTGAAGTTACCCTAATACGAGCTGGGAGCACGGCACAGAAGTCATCTCTGCCTGAAGTGGGTCACTTAGAGATGCTCAGGGGCAGTTAACACGCATTAATGAGCTTTAATGTGCAGACACTCGTGTCTGAACTGCCCTTAGTATGGGCCACGTGTGGTGTAACTTCACCCTGGTATGTCATAGGTATGCCGCCCGCCTCCCGGGGCTGCCCTCATCACGCCCATGGGGCCAACTCCTTCGCTGCGGCGCAGCAGGGTTCGATGTCCCGAGCACCGCAGGCTCCATAGGGACGGCTATTACGGACCGAACGGCTGACCAGCTGTGAGCTGGTGACGACAGCCAGGGAGCAAGGACTGGACAGTGGTTGGTAATGACTGGGAGGCAGAGCTCGGGCCCAGGTGTGAAGATGCCAGCGGCTGGGACGGGGCTGTGGGCAGGCGAGCGGGGCGCAGCACCTGGGAGCGGGGCGGACAGGAGGGGCCAGGACTGGGATTGCAGGCGGTGACAGCGCGGGGCTGATGCAGAGCTGTGTTCTGCTCCCCGCCCATCCCTGCCTGCAGAGCCGGCACTAATCGCAGGGGCGTGCGGGCAGCGGGTCGCGGCTCAGCCCCGGGTCCATCCTGCGCTGTCACGGTCCCCTGGTCCTGCCCTGTAATCTCAGCCCCGCACCGCTCCAGCTCCGTGTTGCAGCTGGGGGCGGTGGGACCGGCCACACGCACTGTGGCCTGGGCTGCCCCTATGCCTGGGCTGAGGGACCCGCTACTGGCCGGACAAAATCCCTTGGTGGGCCAAATCTGGCCCATGAGCTGTATTTTTCCTGCTCCTGGGCTGCAGCCTGGTACAGCGCCCAGTGGAGACCCCCGCGAGGCCCTGGGGCAGGGCAGGGCAGGGCAGGGGCCTGGCAGGACGGGCTCTGAGCTGGCCTGGCTCGGCCGCGCCGTCGTGGTGGGGAGCAGCCGCAGCCCAGACCACCCCCCCGCCGACTAGACCTGGCAGTGGCAGGTCAAAGGAGACTGGGACGCACCTGGCTCCAAAGGGCTCACCGTGGGGCCGGCCCAGAGCTCAGCCAGGTGCACGCGGACGCCAGCAGCCTCTAGGGTGCTGGGGCAAGCCCGAGGGCCGGGGGAGTCCTGCCCCATTTCGGGGATGCGGGGAGGCCCCGACGCCCGGCTCGCAGCCGCCCTCACCTTGCGTGCCCACCAGCACCATGGGCACCTCGGCCGTGTTGCGGTAGCTGCAGAGCCGCAGGTAGTAGTTATACACCGTCTGGAAGCTGATCTCATCCTCCAAACTGAAGACAAACACCACGGCATCCACCCAAGCCGCGAACTGGCAGGGAAACACCAGGCATCACCGTGCAGCCCTGGCCCCGTGCCCCCTTCGGGGACATCAGCCGAGGGAAAAGCTAGCAGCCGCGGGGACCTGGGGCCGGCTTGGGCAGCAGGGACAGCACCCCTGAGCAAGACCCCGTAGCTGCAAGCCCCTCTCGGCCTCCCCGCAGTGTAGTGAGATCCAGCTGCCCGCGCTCCAGACCACAGCCCCTTCCCGGGGCTTCTGGAGGACAGGCTGGGGACAGGGGTCTCGGAGGCAGGTGCCATGGGGGCGAGGGGGGTCCCCTTACCTGGAGCTCAGGGGGGCCCCCTTCATCTCGAATCAGCAGCAGGTAACTCTGACCGTCCACGACGATCTCCTTCTTAAACCGTCCGCCTGGAGAGCAGGGCAGAGCAGAGCAGTTCGTCAGGCGTGGGGGCAGCCGCGGCTCTGAGGCCGGAGCTGCCCAGAGGGAGATCTGTCTAGGGGAACCCCCAGGCCACGGTGCAGGCTACCCCACGAGGTGCCCAGGGCTGCAGCTGGGGATGGCCTTACCTTCTGGGGACTCCTCCTGCACGTAGGTGCCGGTCAGGTAGCGATGCACCAGCGCCGACTTGCCGCTGGAGAGGTTCCCCACGATGCCCTGCAATAGAGGTGAGCATGAGTGCGCACTCCCCCAGCCGGCTCCTTCCTCCCCCGGGCACTGCCAAGCCACAGCACCATTCAGACGCAGCCGCGGGACCCCCATGCCCTGCCACGACCCCATGAAACCCGGGTCAGTGGCCAGGCTGCACCCCCGGGATGCAAGCCAGCATCCGCCCCTTGCTTTGCAGGGAGGGCCTAGGGCAGAGTGGGGCTGGGCAGACGCCCTTCTCAGCCAGGAGCCTGTATTGCAGCTCCCACACGGCAGCAACTGGATGGTGGAAAGGACGGGGCATGCTCAGCTAAGGGAACGGTGATCGGGGAGGGGTGGGACAGCAGCCCCCGATAGCTGAGAGCCTGGGCGGATCGAGGATTTTGGAAAGGGGGGCGCAGATGGCATGGTACATCATCACATGTGACAACGCATGTCTCTCCAGGTAAAGAGAAACAAGAAGCTTTACTAAAACGCCGGGGAGCTAGAGCTATATTATTCAAGATCAAAGCAAAAACACATATAACTACTGGACCATGCATTCATTTGCTGGATAATATGTTTAAAAAACTCAAATTAAGCACACAAAAAAAAGAGTCAAAATAATTAGCAGGCATCACATTATTAGTCCTGTAGTCGTCACAGTGAACGTACATTGCTTAGTCAGATCCACAAAGCAATATCGAGTCTCTTGGCACTGCCCCCAACACTTCGCTGTCAGTCATTTCTACACCGGAGTTAAGGTGTTTAGCGAGCGCTACAAACAGTCGGCAGGGCATCGCTCTGCAGGAGAGAGATGCCAGGACTGGTGGGATAGAAATGCCGTTGCCCCTCCCGGCAGCGTGGATGGAGCAGGCGTGCAACTGCCCCCTGCAGCCGCCCCTGCCCGAGAGGCTGCCATGAAGAAGGGAGAGCAGCGGTGCCCTGCTGCAGAAGGCAGGACACGGGGCAATGCCGTTACAGGGCAGAAAAGCAGATTTAGCACAGCTCTCAGGACAAACAGGTACCTGTGCTCCAGGACGTGATGCCCTTTGTGCACGGATGCTGCTCTAGGAGGCAGCCCCACCGGTACCCGCTGGGCAGAGCTCCCGTGCCCGGCTTCCCGAGCATCCCAGCACAGGATGGTGCCGCCAGTGGGTGTGTGGCTGGGCAAGGGCCTGCCCTGAGGAGGGCGATGCTCCCAATGCATCACCGCCATGCTCAAGAGCCTGTTCTCAAGACGAAGGGCAGACAAAAATAGGGGCCAGGAGAGGGACGGGATGCAGCCACCAGCAGCTGCAGCCATACGCTGCAAGTGCCCAACGTGAGACAGAGCCCCAAGTGCCTCCAAACCCCTGAGCCGGCACCCTCAGCCTGAAGACAGTCATAGACAATGAGGGCTGGAAGGGACCCCAGGAGGTCACATCTAGTCCATCTCCCTACTCAAAGCAGGACCAGCCCCAACTGCATCATCCCAGCCAAGGCTTTGTGTAGCCGGGTCTTAAACACCTCCAAGGACGGCGAGTCTGCCACCTCTCTGGGGAGCCTGGTCCAGTGCTTCACCACTCTCCTCATCAGAAAGCATTTCCTAATATCCAACCTCAACTTCCCTTGCTGCAACCTGAGCCCATTGCTCCTTGTCCTGTCGTCTGCCCCCACTGAGAACAGCCCAGCTCCATCCTCTTTGCAACCCCCTGCAGGGAGGTGACGGCTGCTATTCAATCCCCCTCGGTCTTCTCTTCTGCAAACTAAACCAGCCCATTCACTGAGCCTCTTCTTACCAGTCCTGTCCCCCAGCCCCACAACCATTTTCATTGTCTTCCATTGGACTCTCTCCAACTTGTGCACTTCCTTTCTGCAGTGGGGGCCCACAGCTGGACACCGGACTCCAGATGTGGCCTCCCCAGTGCCAAATAGAGGAGAAGGATCACTTCCCGTGGCCTGCTGGTAACACACCTATCAATGCAGCTCAGCATGCTGTTAGCTTTCTTGGCACAAGGGCACACTGCTTGTCCCCTGTCCCCCCAGGTCCTTTCTGCAGAGCGGCTGCCCAGCCCGTCCCCCCAGTCTGCACCAGTGCAGGGGATTGCTCCTCCTAAGTGCCGGACTTTGCACTTGTTCTTGTTGAACCTCGTTTCTTTTGGTCCAATCCTCCAGTGTGTTAAGGTCTCTCTAAATCCTAGCCCTGGGAGCACCAGCCCCGCACAGCTGGAAGGCTCAGGCTGCCCACACTCCTGCACCATAAAGCAAACAGCAAGAGAAACCGCTACTGCGTTTGCCACGGCCACAGCTCTGGGGCATTTGTAGGGCAACAAGGGGCATGGCCAAGCTTGCTTGGCCTTTGTGCTGCCATCACCATTTTTACGGGGGCACAAAGATGCCGTCTGTTTCCACCCCAAGATGCAGGAGAAGGCACTGCCACGGCCTTGGGGCAGCCGTCCCGGGGAGCTCCTGGCACCAGGAGATGCTTGCACCTGGCCGGGCCCCCGGAGCTCACAGCTAGATCAGCCCCATCCAGAGCACCTCGGACATGGCCTTGTCCGACCTGTTGCTAACACTACACGACAGCCCTGTGCACAGCTACAAGACCCACTGCCCCCAGACACCGAGAGCCCCTGAATTTGCCCTGGGTCAAGCAGGGGGACGAGGGCTGGCAATGCCCCGCTGCGACAGGGGTGTTAAATGCTGAGAGGTCCAGGAGCCTCCGGGTTTGCTAAGTGTAGGGATTTCAAATGGATGCTCCAAAATACTGCAAGAGCCTTGTCAGATGTTGCACTTAGCACGCACTAACTGCACTTACAGCCAAGCTTTCAAGCAGCAAAACACAAGCCAGCTACAACACAAACAATGCGTGCTAAGTGTAACGTGCAACAAAACCAGCACAAAACGCCAGCTCTGCATTAGGCGGCAAGGCCTTACCGTGGCCATGCTCAGCCCGGGATCCCAGCGCCAGGGCGGCAGCCGGGCCAGCGAGGGAGGTTCCCGCTGCCCCGGGCTGGCCGGCTCCAGCGGACAGCTCACCCCAGCCAACAGCCCATCTCTCCCGAACCTCTCGTCACACCAGCGTCCCACGTTTCCGGCCCACCTGCCTTGTTCTTCCCTTCCCGCTTGATCTCTCTCTTCCCGGGGGTTTCCTTCTAGCTGCCCAGAGCTAAGCGCTCACTGCCAATCTCCTCACCATGGCGTGCCCACCTCTCCTCCGGCACCCCCTATCCTGGGCTCGCCATGCTCCCTCCTGCCAGCACCAGCTTATGTCTGTCCACTTACGTTGCGCTTCCCTAAAAGAGCGCCACGCTTGCACGCGACACAGTCAAACCCCCCGTCGCCTGCTGCAATCGCAGCCCACGTCCGAGTCCCTGCACCGTCGCCAGGGAAGCAGATGTGGCCGCTCCAGCTCTCGCTACCCGCAGGCATCACAAAGGTCTGCGCCGCCACATGCACCGCTCTGGCTCTGACCCAGGGCGGGGGACTGACAGCGCCTTTGGGCAGCATTCACGTGCATGGCGCAGCCCCCCGCGCCCTCCTGGTTAGCGATTAGCACCGTGCAGAGCCAGCATGGGACAAGGGGCACGCATGAAAGCCTGGCTCCCTCGCAGCTCCCAGAACGGGACCGCAATGGCCATCGCCAGGGACAGGAGCGCCCCTAGCTGGACCCAAGCTGTCCGACAGCTCAGTCGATGGAGCACCGGGATGGGCTCGACCTATGTCAGCGGTTACCGAACAGGGGAGAGATCTGGGGGTCGCTGTGAACAATTACAATGTCGGCTCCAACAGCAAACCCAATGGTAAGGACAATGAAGAAGGGAACTGCAAACAAAGCGGAAGGTATCATAATGTCCCTTTATACATCCACACCTTGAATACGGTGCCCAGATCCGGCCCCTGCGCCTCAGACAGGAGAGAGAGAAGGTGCAGAGAAGGGCAACAAGGATGCTGAGTGCTAGCGAGGGGCTTCCCTAGGAGGAGAGACTAACGAGGCCGGGCCTGGCCAGGGTAGGAAAGAGGTGCTGGAGAGGGGATGGAGAAGGTTTGCAACACACTCTACGGAGAAGAGAAAGGCACCCGGGATTTGTCTTCCCCAGCAAGCACAAAGGGTCAGAACATGGGACAAGTGGGCAGTAAGTCTAGCACCGACAAGGAAGATCTTAGTCACCGGCGTGGCGTTAAAGGGTGGACTCACGGCACCAGACGTGGTTGGAGCCGAGAGCTCAGCCAGGTTCACAAGGGCTTGGAGCAAAGGGGCATCGGTGGCTCTGGGGCAGGGCGTGAGGGGCACGGGCTCTGCATCAGCCCTGCCTAGAGCTGAAATGCTGGAGGCTGCAAGTGGGAGAGGAGCAGGGGAAACCCCTGCTCAGCCCCCGACCCTTTCCCTTCAGCCTCTGCTCCCTGCCCCGCGGGACAGCGCGACAGACCTGTGATGCTCTGCTGTGAAACAGAGACAAGCCCCTGACACGCAGCCGAGGAGCAGCACGCGGAGAACACGCGTGTCAGCCCAGCCAGGTGCAGGTCCCGAGCGCGAGGTGGAGGATGCACCTCGGCGGCCCTGGCCAAGAGCGCCATGGCGTGACGGCAGACAAGCCGCTGAGCAGAGGAACTGCACGGTGTCACGGGGAACCGTGCCCCGTGAGATCTCCTTCAGACAGGCCCCTCCAGCCCGGGCGGGCGAGCTGGGCTAGCGCAGGAGTCGCTGGATAGGCTCCGAGTTGCACCCTAGGTCGACCTCTACGACCTCTGCCCCAGGCCAGGGCCCATCCCAATCCGCAGGAATGACCCCCGTGGGAGCCCGAGCCCCGTGCAAGGAACTGACCCCTTTTCCAGCAGGCAGGGGTATAGCCCCCAGCACAGGGCCGGGGGTCCCGGGACAGCCGCGGCTGCAGGCGATGCCGGCCGGCGCAGCTCGTACTCACCACTTTGAGCTCCGGCACCGAGCGGCTCAGGGTCCACTCCTGGCTGTTCACAAATGAATCTGCAGAGACAGAAAAGCAGCGGTCAGGCCGGGGCAGAGGAGATGAGGACTCAGGATCCCGCCCGCCCTGCAGAGAGGGGTGGGCTCCCAGCAAGGATGTGGGAAGAGCTCGGCCGCACCGGGACCCCACAGGGGTGATGCACTGTGGCCCCCGGCGCACCCCCACCCCCAGGCCACGCGGGCCGAGGAAACCAAATCCTGGGAGGAGCTGCCCCGTGGGGCCAAAGACAGCGGTGGCGATGGGAGCAAGGGCAGACGTGTCCTTAGCCGTGGGGCTGGCAGGGAGCTCCAGGGGTCACATCTAGTCCAGCCCTGGCCTGAACCGGACCAGCCCTGTCCAAACCCAGTGCCAGCAGGAGCACTGGCGCAGCCCAGTTCCCATCCCCGGGCTGCACTGCAGCAGCACCAGTGCAATGCGCAGGCCAGGGCTGCAGCAGAGGGTGGGGGCACAGCTGGAGCAGCTGCATGCAAGCAGGGCGGGGATGGCGGGTGCCCACGTCGGGGGATAGCTGCACTGGTCTCGGGTCCCTCGGGGGCTCACAACGGCTCCTTCCCACTACCCACCCGCCCCTGCTGCCCACGCAGACCCCTCCCGCCCGCGGCCCTGGGCACCCGGAGCCAGGTCCCAGCCCCGGCAGCGCCCCGGCTCTGGCACCAGAGGCTCCGGTCTTTCCCGATGTCAGCATCATCCCGTGGCACCGCCCAGACTGGTCGGGCGAGTCGAGTGGCTGCCGGGCTCGGCTCCCCCGGCACGCCGCAGCGCCAGCTGGCGCTCCAAGCAGTGCCGTGGTCGGGCGCGGGGGCGAGGCCCAGCCTGGCGCACCGTGCCGCTCTGTACCACACCTCCGTCCCGGCGTACGGGCAAAGGGCCAGCCAGGCTCAGGGGCCAAGCAGAGCATGCACAGGGGGTTACGGAGCTGCCTACGGTCGTCCCAGGACGACTCGCCCACTTGCGCTCACCCCAGCGGCACATACACATCCCTCTCCCGGCAATGCCTCGCCAGGCCCTTCTGCACCCCTGGTTGCTGCAGCGCCCAGCTCTGGACCCGGGTCCGTGTGCATTTGTCTTCCCTGAACAAGGAGGGGCTGGACGAGGTCCCAGCCTTTGCCCTGCCAGACCTGCCAAGCCTCCCCGGACAACCCGGCTGGCAGTTCATTGCCACGGCCACCCCTGCACTCAGCTAACATGCACCCCGCCTGGAGCAGGAATCCCTGCAATCGACCCTACGTCGACCGCATGTGCCCAGGCTGCCGGGACTAGAAGAGCCAAGGACCGTGGCATGGCGCGCCTGCCAGGGGATTGCCGCCTGCCCGAGGGACCACCGCTGGCCCCGCACCGCGGCATGGTGCATGCCTGTCTGCACCCACATGGACCGCGCTGCTCCTCTGCCTCCAGCCAGGGCTGACCGGGGAGCACAGGCAGCGCAGGGCAAGGGATGGCATCCTTCACGGCGGGGCAGAGGACTTGTCCTATGCCCGGAGGTGCTGGCCCTGGTCGCATCCACCCTGCTGGGACACCCATGCTGGACGCGGCAGCAGTCCCACAGGTGCAGCCACACCTGCATCAGCTCTGGCCCCCGGTCTCCGGCTAGGATATCCCCTCCATTGCCTCTGGGATGGGGAAGGGCCATCTCCATTGTACCCCAGCTCTGTCCGTCTGCCTGTCTGTCCAGACCAGAGGGGCTCTGGGATCGTCGGGCCTGAGCTCCCGTCTCCCACACGCTGCCCGGCGTCCAGGAACCAGCTCTGCTCTGCAGCAGAGCAAGGATCCTTCCCAAAACCCCTCCATGCTCTAATGACGCTGCCACGATGGCAATGCCCTGCTCCACCCCCCGCAATGGTGAGTCACCCGCACCGCCCAAACTTTGCCCCTTGCCCCTGGCCTGGGCTTGCCAGACCTCGCTGCTGGACTGCACTCGGGCACCTTGGCCTCCTTTGGAAAGTTAGACAGACGAGACGGAGCTGCCCGCGGGATGATGGGACAGCCCAGCAGACCCGCACTGACACGACACCGGCACTGCGAGCGCGGGAGAGGCCAGGACGGGCCGCCTGGACACGGAGCTGGAATCGGTGCCGCCCATGCTGGGGTCACAAGCCGGCTCCTCGGGTGCTGTGAGCTCCTGCCGGGGTGGCTGCGCTCTCCCCTGCGCCCCGAAAGGAAAGGGGGGACGGAAGAGCCGTGCTCCTGTCACGGGCTGCTGAAACAGCCCCAGCCAGGCACCCTGCCCGCGCTCGGCTCCGCACAACCCTGCAGACCGGACACCGCGGTCGGCCCCTATCCCCCCACCGACGCTGACCAGCCTCCAGCGGGAGAGGAGCCTGCATTCGAGTCCCCCCGTCCCACCTGCACTCATCCTGCTCCAGCCCCTCAAAGCCAGACTCGCCGTCAAAGGGAACGGGGGAGCCCAAAACCCACGCGCCAGGCCCGGCTGCACCCGTTCTTGCTGCTCAGCATCGTCCCTGCTCCGGCGATCGGCATCTCCTCGCGGTGAGAGCGAGCACGGAGGAAGCCCACGGAGCTGCGCCGCGGATGCCATGAGCAGTCGCTCCAGCCCCCAAAGCAGAGGATCATGGAAAATCCCAGAGCCACGGGGTCACATCCAGTCCTGCCCCAGCTGAGGCAGGATCAGCCCCACTCAAACCAGCTCAGATAAACCCCTTGTCCAACCTCAGAGCAACACAACAGTGGCCCCTGACGCAGCCCCAGGCATCGCCCCTGCCCTTGTCCCTGGGATGCAGGGGGGCTGCAGCCACCAACGTCCTGCTGCTGCCAGGGGGGTTGTGGGCGCTGCAGAGACCCCAGGCCCAGGCTGAACCCCCGCTGCAGAGACACGGCCAGCACATGTGAACGCACGAGGGTACCGGTGCACCTCCCATGGCACTGCTGACCGAGGCTGCATGCACCCAGGCGGGGTTAGGGGAGGGAAGGCGACAAGGTTGACATGGCCTCGACGCCTGCCCTTTCCATGGGATGCTGCCAAGCCCCTCTCAAAGAGCCCCGTGCCAGGGGCGTCTGGGCTCCTGCCATGGACAGATGCACCTAATCATTAACGAAGCCGCTCTCCGAGTTGCTGCAGGACTTGCATGAACATTGAACCTCAGGGCGCTGAAATCCCAGCCCTGAAACCTGGCCAGAGGCTGTGCAAACATGCCCCGTGGCCCCGTCAGCTGCCCAGCCCAGCTCCCAGCACCCACGGCCGGGGCAGCACGGCTCCGGCAGGCGCCAGCAAACCCAGCCCTGGGCTGCCCAGGTGCAGCTGCGGGCACCTCCCAGGCTAGGAGAAGGCCAGGGAAGCTGGAGGGGGAGAGGCGGGAGCCCCAGCTCGGAGCCAGCCCAGCGCGGGGATCGGGGTGACCAGGAGCCCCTCCACCAAACTGTGCCCTGCTCAGCCTGGCCTCCCCACAGCGAGCGGCTTGTGCTTCTGCGGCAAGGCGAGGGCTGGTGTCCCCCACGGGAGCCAGTCCCCGGCGTGGCCCATCAGTGCTACGTGGCCAAGGCGAAAGCCCCATTGGGGCAAGGGGTGGAGGGGGCGACGGGCCTCCTCCAGCAGCTTCTGCTGCCCCTTCCCGCTCCCCCCGGTCCTGCCAGACCCAGTCCTTAGTGGATGCAGCAGAGCAACCCCCCCGTTACTGAGCAGTGTTCAAATGCCCCCCCGATGCAGCCGGACACCCGCCCATGCCTGCACCACGCTTCCCACGAGCAGGAGGCCTGCGCTCCCAGGCCGAAGCTGGTGCCCCAGAGCCAGGCTGCGCATCCTGGGACCCTGCGCAGGACCGTGCCCACCTGGGAACGCAAGCACCGGGATCCCGGTGCCCGTGGGGGAGCACGGCAGGGAGGGGGGTCAGTCCCCAAGGAACCTGACCCCTGCCTGGCAGGACAGGCTGGGGCCCTCGCAGCCCAGCCAGCTCGCGCACGCTGCTACAGGAGCCTTGCGGAGCGCGGGGCAGGACACCGACACCGCGAGCCCGGGAGGGACGGCTGCAAGCAGCCAGTTGGAGCTGGCGGCATGGCCCACAGCCTCACCGAGCGCTGCCCGCGTGCAGCCCCGGGCTGCCGGTCTGCAGAGACACCCGAACCCGGTGCACCAGCACACAGCCGCTAGCAACCCTGCCTTCCCCGCTAGTACACGCCTACTGGTACACACCTGCTTCCTCCTAGTACACACCTGTGGGTACACACCTGCTTCCCCTGCTAGACACGCACCTGCTAGTACATCCTGGTTCCCCAGCTAGCATATACCTGCTGGTACAAACCAGCTAGTATCCCCAGCTAGCGCACACCAGTGAGCACACACCCACCGGTCACCCTGCGCCCCAGGGAGCTGGCGCAGCCTCCCCTCTGGCACGGCATCGTGCCGTACAGGTGCAGCCGTGCTCCCTGCTGCAGACACGCTCTGCACAGTAAGGGGGACGGAGGAGCAGCCAAGCACGGCACGGCACGGCGCACCCCCCCCCAACCTGCCCTGGGCTAGGGCGGGTAACGCATGTCCAACCCCTCCAAAAGCATCGCGGGTGCTGAGGGCTTCTGGCCTGCAGGTCTGACACAGGGCAGCAGGGACAGTCAGACCGGTGCCCCGACGGGACGAGTTTGGAGTGGCCTCCCACTTAGCCGCTCGCTGGCAGGGGTCCTCCACCCACCACTTCAGACCCTGGCCGCAGTCACGAGGCGCAGCTCCCCCAGCGCGGTCAGGAAGCCAAGGCCCAGCCAGCACCTGGCCCGGCTGCAACGGGGTCAGCAGTTACCGATGCTCAGCGCTCCAGGGACAAGGGCCTGCGCCCGCTGCAGAGCAAGGCAAAGCCGCATGCACTGTGCCAGTCTGGCCCGGGAGGGAAGGTGCTGCCCGACGCCCAGCCAGGAGCATCAGACACACGCCTCGGCTGCGGCCCGCGGCCCAGCGCTCCGGAGGAAAGCAAAGCAGCCCCGAGGCCAGCAGCCTTCCCTCCTGGACCGGCCACCTGCAGAACCTGAGCGCAAGACGGGGCCTGGTCCCACCACGGCC